GTAACGGGCTCATGGGAGAGAGAGCATCTGAGAGGCACAGTGATGAGGATTCCAGGCTCTAAGTCTTACCGGGCTGATTTTGTGACTTACCTGGTGATGTGAACACATAAGGGTTGACCTCTCTAAGCCTCCGTCTCCTTATCATTAATGAAAATAATAAAAAATATCTGCCTCCTAGAGTTGCAATAGGAGCCTTGGGCATAGTGGGTGATGCACTGAGCTGCTAACCACAAGGGCGGCAGTTTGAACCCATCAACCCCTCTGCAGGAGAAAGCTGGTGCTGTCTGTTCTCCTAAAGATTGAAAGTCTCCGAAACCCAAAGGGCAGTTCTAACCTGTCCTATTGGGTCACTATGGGTTAAATCAACTCAATGGCAGTGAGTCTGTTGTTGTTGGGGAGCTGTGATATGGATTAAATACAAATAAAATATTTCCCTAATGCCTGATATCTCCAAATAGCTCAATTACATTACCCTGAACCGAGTCCCTGGATGGCACAGTTAAGCACTCCACTACTTGCTGGAAGGGTTGGCATGCTAGTGGGAACGGTTGGCAGTTCGCATCCACACAAGGTGATTTGGAAGACACATACAGTCTTGAAGCCCGAATCACCAGTCTGCTCTGCACACATGGGGTCTCCATGAGTTAGCACGGCTCCACAGCAACCAACGGCAACTACTACAATGACCTTGGACACTGTCAGCTTGGGCTCATTTGATCTTAACTAGGGCTCAAGGAATGAGGCAGAGCAGTGAAAGCCCAGCTCTCAGAGATAGTTGAAAGTGCAGTCCCACTTGTTGAGATAAGAATTGACCTCCTGTGTACATTGTGCAGATGGCAACTGGAAACACAGGGAATCCAGGACGGATGACTCCTTCCGGACCAGTGGGGAGAGGGGCGATGCCTGGAGGGTGAAGGGAATGTGGGGTAGAAGGGTGGAACCGATTACAAGAATCTAAGTATAGCCTCCTCCCTGGGGGATGGACAGCAGAGAAGAGGGTGGAGGGAGACGTCGGACAGTGTAACTTATGACAAAACTAATCATTTATGAATTATGAAGGGTTCATGAGGAAGGGGGGAGTGGGGAGGGAGGGGGAAAATGAGCAACTAATATTAAGGGCTAAAGTAGAAGGCAAATGTGTTGAGAATGATGAGGGCAACAAATGTACATATGTGCTTGACACAATGGATGTATGTATGGACTGTGATAAGAATTGTACGAGCCCCCAATAAAATAATTTTTTAAAAAAAGAATTGACCTCCTATTGATGCCAACTGCAGAGTCCAGCATGGTTTATGAAGCCCCTTGCTGGTGCCTCATCCAACATAATCTTTACTGTGTTCCAATGAAATGGAAATTATTATTATCATCTGGGTTTTTTTCCAGGTAAGATAAAGTTCAGGAAGATGAGAAAGGTTCTTTTGTGTCACCTAGTTATGAAGTGGCTGAGCTGGGACATAGATCTGAGTCCTCTGACTGCCTGCTCTCCTCTGAACCCGTGGAAGGAGCCCTGGTGGCCCCTGGTGAAGGGCTCCACTGCTGACCGAAGACCAGTGGTGGGAACCCACCTGCTGCCCCACAGTAGAAAGATGTGGCCATCTGCTCGCAGAAAGACCGACAGTCATGAAAACTCCATGAGGCAGCTCGACTCTGTCCTGTCGGGTCACTGTGAGTTGGATCGACTCAAGGGAAATGGTTTTCTGTTTGTTTGAAACCATCTGGTACATGGGTTTTCGAAGCAATGTCACAGGCTGGTTCATTCATCTGTCTTTCGGTTGAATGTTGAAAAGAGGCCCCATCAATGAAGAACCCAGCAAAATGATAGAGCCTCCCCACCTCCCACACAGCACAGGACATGTGTAGTCTCATCCTCCCCTCAGAGGGTGGAGGGCAATCACACAACCTCTCATTTCGAAGTACAACTTTCTCTTCAAAGAGCAAAGGCCCAAACAGCCAGCACTGTCCCAGGAGCAAAAGACGTGACTTTAACAAACAAAATCCCAGACACCAGACCTGGCTTGAGATAGTCAACTTTCGTCCTGTTTTTTCAGGTTGATCATCTCAAGTTTCCCAGACAAGCTGACAAGCTTTAACCTGAGAATCACTGTGGATTCAATGGACACATGATGAAGAGAATCGGATTCTTTAGTGCCAAGGAAAGCACTTATCGAGTGCAAGCTTTGGGAGACCAACTGACCTGGACTCGGGACTCAGGCACATATAACTAGCCACATCATCAGCATGTGAGAAATCACCTATTTGTATAGAATTTCAAAAGAAACTATCATAAATCCATTCATTTTAGAAATGCGGGCGGAGGCTCCTCCCTCACTGTCAGAATCCACTCTGGGGAAATGGAGGGAAGGCGGGCCGATTACCTACCTCACCTGGGCTCCTTTCTGGCCTCTCTCATCAGCCCACTAACCCAGGGCCCCTTCCTTTGCCCCCAATTCCTTATGGGTAAACACCTACTTTTTCACAATTCCCTGCTGAGATCGCTCCAAGACCTTTTTATTTGCTTATTTTTCAGCAACTTTATTGGCATATCATTCAATTATCATGTAATTCAGTCACGTCAAGAAGAGTTGGACAACCATTGAGACGATCTTCTTTGGTTTTGTGCTCATCGTTATTACCTTCCCATTTCCCCCCAAGCTTCCTGCCACCCCCCTGACCATTAATCCAGATACCTATTCTGGATTTCATATCCAGAAAAACATTAAAAAACAAGCCAACCAACACTAACAAGAAGAACAAAGCAAAACGGAAAAAAACCTCAATCAAAAGGAAAGTAGAAAATATTAAAAACTAGAACAAATTTAAATGGATCCTAAGGGAGATCAAATGACAGGGTGCTAACTGCATCTGCACAATCCACTCTCCGATGCATTCTGCATGGTAGCAAGGCTATTCACATCCCTGGTCTCTGGTCAGAGGGGATTCCTCAGGGAGTTACCCTGTATGTATTTCACCTTCACTTAAAAACAAACAAAACGGAAATAGCTTAAAATGGGTCAAAAGGGAAATCAAATGATCAGATATTCTGACTTCATTACATCCAAGACCCTCTCAAATGGTGGAACCAACACCTGGCGTGTAATGCTTCCTTCCAGATCTCTCCAGGGGCAAGGAGGATTGCAGACTTTCTTAAATGGTCTCAGAATTTCTATTTATATCCAGAAGTAGAATGGATTACTCTTTTCCTATTGGTATTTGGAGAGCAGGCAGAAGCAGGAGCAGGATTCCCAAATCCGCTGCTAACATGCTGGGTGAATAAGAAGGTGGGACCCGCTATGACCTTCAGATCCATCTCCATGGACATAACCAACCCACAAAATCTTTAGTCCTCCCTTAGTCTGTTCTGGTTTCCCTTCAATTACCCCACTGGAGGTCTTCTCCCGGAGGGACTATCCGATTGTCAGAAACCACCTGTGGGCCCTAATCCCCACTCTGATTTTGCTGCATGCTCTGAAACCTACCACAGTCTTATCTCAGGCTGAGCACGCCCCGGCTCTCTTCCCCACTTGTCTTTTCCTGGCAGAAGAGGGTCAGAACAAAAGCCAAAAATCCCAACTCCTGCTCTCAAGTGGGTTAAGACTCAGAAGGACCCTATACAGGGATTCCAGGGCTGTCAATCTTCCGGGAGCAGACAGCCTCATCTTTCCCCCACAGAGTGGATGGTGGGTTTGAAGTGCCCCCCCTGTGGTTAGCAGCCCAATAGGACAAACCAACCAAACCAGACTCTACTGGCCTCAAGTTGATTCTGGCTTGTAGCAGACCTCACAGGGAAGGATTGAACTGCTCCTGTGGGTTTCCAAGACAGTAATGCTTTGCAGGAATAGAAAGCCTCCTCTTTCTCTCAGAGTGGTTGGTGGATTCCGCCTGTTAACCTGGCAAACTGCAGCAAACACTTTCACCTAAATATGAAGTCCACCCTTCCCATGGAAAGCATTCCTGCAGCCTGGCGAAGATCTCATTCTACAGCCCACATTCGAGTCTTCCCTTCTTACCCCCTTAGCTCGTCAGAAGGGAACCAGTTGCTAAAATGTGTTAAGTTGTGAGAGCCTTCGGCTTCCCTGATGCCATTTCCAGACTACAAAAATCTGGTCCTAAAAGGGCTGGAATGTTGGGCTCAGAAAACTGCCTTGCCCAAGGAATGCTATGCCTTTGGGCATTGCCTGGAGGAAGGCTTTCTTTTCCTCACCCCACCCCCCTACGCCCACCCCCACCTCCCAGCTGCCCTTGGGGAAAATGAGCACCTAGGCAGATGGGCCTGTTAGCCCCAAGCAGAGTGAGCAGTTTGAATTCATCATTCACTCTGCAGAAGAAAGTTGAGGCTTTCTGCTTTTCGTACAAAACTAGTCTTGGAAACCCACAGAGGCTTAGAGGGTCGCTACGGGTCGAAATCGACTTGATGTCAGTGACTTTGACTTTGGAAAACATCCCCGCTACTATTCATCCCAGGGGAATGAGGGTTCGGATCCCCGGCATCTCAGCGGAGTCACACAGCTGGCTTTCCATTCAGGCACCTCCAAGTCCATAACCTTAAAGAAGTAAAGGCACAAGAGACTGGAAACGTGCTCCGCGGGATGTCCCTTTTCAATGAAAACCACTACCATCGAGTCAATTCCGACTCAGTGACCAGGATGAGGTTTCTCCGGCTGTCAATCTTTCTGGGAGTGGACAGCCTCTCCTTCCCCTGTCAGAATGACCGCTGGTTTTGAGCCATGGAGTTTGTGATTAACTATCCAACATTTACCCGTCAGGGCAATTCTCTCTCTTGGTGCCAGCACTACCTGAATAGAATCGCCCCAATTAACCGGCGCGCTCCTTGTCCTGTTTCTTAAACTAACGAGAGGATACGAATGCGTGAGCGCACGCACGTGCACACACACACACACACACACACACACACCCCACGCTTGCTTATCTGGGACCCCAGTGTCACCGTGCCAGGTCTGCTGGGATGCACCCCGAGCAGCAGGGACGTGGCTCCTCACCTTGATGTTGTGGAAGACGGAGCGGGAGCAGCGGGCGGC